TATTATTATTATTATTATTCCTCTCTTCTCCAATGCTCAGCTCTACCTTTCAATCCCAAATGACTGTTTTCCTTCAGAATAGAGTTGCCAAACTGAAAACTGGAGACAGCTCCTGTATCTTTAATGGTTGTGTAGAAGAGGGAGTTTCAACATCTGTTGCTTATCAAGCAATTAAGTAACAAGCAACCCTTGCCTATATTTCCTCTTCTCTTGTTCTTGTATGCATTTAAGTCATTTCCAACTCATGACAACCCTAAAGCAACTCAATCACAACGTTTTCAGAGGGGTTTTGCCTTTATCTTCCTCTGATGCTGAGTGAATGTGACTTACCCAAGGTCACCCAATGGGTTCCCATGGCAAAGCGGGGATCTAAATCCTGATTTCCAGACTCATAGTCCAACATTCAAACCACTACACCAGGGGTAGGCAACCTTTCCCCTTTAAGGGCCGAGGGACTTCAGCTCCCAGAATCCCAGGAGCTATTGGCCAACATGGGACTATTGGCCAACATGGCTGAGGCTCCTGGGAGCTGAAGTCCCTCGGCCCTTAAAGGGGAAAGGTTGCCTACCCCTGTACTACACCATACTGGTTTTCCTATTCCTTGCTTCTTCTACACAACCATTAGAGATACAGGAGACCTAGCCAGTTTTCATTCTGGCAACCCTACTCAGATTTTTTTTCCTCACAGGGGGACAAAGAAATTTGGGATGGATAAACCTTGAATGGAAAGACAGGCAACAAGGAAAGTGTTATATAATTTCTTTTAATCCCCTGAGTTTGTAATTAAGATTGCATCTCCCCACAGCTCTTCTCATGAGGAGGCCAAGCAATATTGGGATAAAGTTGTAATAAGCAACTATGCATTAGGTGTAAGTTGGTCATACCAATGATTTGGCTCAGTTCTTGCACTATTTGAATTAGTGTTACCTTAAATCAGCCTGACTCAGTACCAATAAAGGCTTGAAAAGTTGCTGCTATTCTCAAACATAAAAACTGTAAAGCAACCGGAATACTACTGTGATCTATGTTTGAGTCATCTGTTTGCATTTTAATTGAATGGTTTATATCTTCAGGCAATTGCATTATTCTCTTCAAGAGCTTGATTGCTGAATTAAGGAGCAAACCTCATTAACCTTTGAATGCAACAATCAATAGTTTGCAATATATTCAAGCAAATCTGTTTGCAATAAATCTTATGAATACACAATTGGGCTTTAATATCACATGATCTGGAAGTTTTCATGAATGGTGGGATGTTGTGGAAGAAGGGGCAGAAAAAAAATCAGTGCCAAGACTTATGTGGGATAAGAAATCATGCTGCATTTTAAACCTTGCAGGAAAATTGGATAGCTGTTGCTGCTATGCCCTTTGCAAGAGTTGGCAAGCAGATGTCTCCAAAATAAATACAATCTCTTGACATTTGTTCTTTTGGGTCTCCTTTCAACTTTCTGAATGCTTCATATTCTGCCAATGTACAGATATATATATCCCACTTCCAGTGCTTGGAATGTAATTTTAAAAAGGTAATTCATTCTAGTTCCAGTGCTCACAATAGTAGATAGTTATAATTACAGTTGCAGTGTGTATTTGGATGTGTATTTTTTTTAAAAAAATAGCATTTTCAGTTTTCTTTTTCTCAGATGTAACCAAAGAGTTATATTAGTCACATTCAGCTTTCATTTTAAAGAAAAGCTATGAATTATTTTTCTGTGGACATGATCACACACAGTTTCAACCACAATTATAGTTGTAAAATAGTACCTTTGGTGATACTTATCAGACAATGTCACCTCTGATCTATAGCTGCTGTGTCTATGACGTATGGTTTTGTTGTCCCTTTTCATTAACACAGCTGGGGGGGACTCATCAATAAGCTACCAATTGTGTGGCAGTCCCATTAGTCCCCAGGTGTGAAATGTCACTGCCATGACAGTTGCACTATTGCCATTTACATAGAATCATAGGACGTTATCACACGTGGGCCAGAAACCGATAATAA